AAAGTGCTGAATTTTAAACTGTGAATGTCTCAGAAACATGTTATGACATGTTTGAAGTCCGTACGTACAATATTTCGCGAGTGACAAGTTTCTACGAAATATGGTGTTTCCGGGCAGACCGTCCACTGCAAATTGGATCCATCGAGATCTCAGCAATCCTTCAACGTTTTGCAAATGTGAAAACTGTTTTGGAAACTGCAAGAACCAAAGCATGGCGTAGGGTAAGACGTCAGACCGCAGAAACAACAGAAATATTTTATTTTTCAATCTGAAAACAGAGGACGCTCCGGCGGCCATCTTGCCCACTTCAAGTTTATCGCATTCTCTCATTTCGAGGTGAGTATAGAAAAATCGCACCTTGCTATTCTGATTCGGCATAATCTGTAGAACATTTGATTCACTGGTGGTAGGCGGGTTAAAAGCGTTTTTAACCTCGAAAAAAATGAAAATAGGGTGCCCTGTCACGTCTTCGGACCCCGTCGGTCGCGTTCAACTCGCATTTTAAAATGTTTCCGGTTCGATTCAGTGACTTTTATTTATATCATTAGATTCCTCGTTCTTTTCTCTTTCTAGCGCCATAAGGCGCTTTGGTAAAAGAAGGTCTGGTACAGGAGATATGACAAATAGAAAAGAGAGCTGCAGCGCGCGCGGGCGCCGCCCCGGCCCAGCGGCGCGGCCGAGACAGTGTGTCAGCCCAGCCGTAGAGAGTTGCTACCGGCTGGCTGCGAGCAGACATGGCGGCAGGACCCGACAGACCCATCAGCAGCAGCAGGACCTGCAGGACGCGGCGCATCTGCGCGACAAACGTCGTGCGGACGGGCGCCGCGACGCCGAGCTGCGGGGCGCGAGCGTCCCGGACGACACCCGGGGGTAAAAGACGACGTCCTCACCTTTTGATGGTAGTCCTGTCAGCCGCAGGGTCGAAACGCCGACATTGGAGACTTGGTCAAAACGCACACAGTCCGACTCTGCTTAAAATTCTATCGTCTCTTGCGCGGGCCTGGGCGAGCCGAGTCGAGCGCGTTCGAGTGTGGGGCGTTCTCGCTTCCCCGCGCCGCCTACAGCGGTGACGTCACACCGCGCCGCGGAGCGCGGACCGCGGACGGACGGACGTAGACGCCTCGGCGCGGGGCGGGGCGGGCCGCGGCGGGCCGGGGGCGCGGGGTGCTGGGTGCTGGTGCTGGTCGCGCTGCGCTCGGACGCGCGAGCGAGTCGCCGGGGCCGGTGTGTGTTTGCGATGGCTGGGTGCGGAGGCAGGGCTCCACGACGACACCACGCCGTCAAGACTAGACACGCGGACCCGCGGACCTAGGCGCGGCTAGCGCGGCTACTGGGTGCGGGGG